TATAAGAAAAGTCCTACAATTATTATCAAAATTTTTTTCATATTAATTTTTAAAAAATGCATCTTTATCTAATTAATTTATTATATATCCCCTTAAAATTGGTGAATATATATAGTATTTGATTTAAATAAGCAATTATATCTTATACTATATTTGGATTGAAGGAAAGGGAAAGAAAGGAAAGGAAATAAAGAAAAGTAATAGAAATAGAATAATCATTCTTTTATTTTGATAAACTTTTAATTTAAAGGAAATGAAAGAGGTAGAAACTTAATATCTTTTGGTTTCTCTTGTAATTCTCACTTTTTTAATATTCCAATTTGAGAGAAAAGTTAAAGAAAAGAAAGTTAAAAAAATTTATTTTTATAAAATGAATATTATATCTATATTTTTATTATGAGATTAGATTTGATTGTATAACTGATACTTTCTACAAAAATAATTTCTTTTTATGAGTATTTTATATAATATTATAATTTATAAATATTTTATGATTTTTTAAGTCTTAACAATAAAGCAAGCCAAATTATTATCAGAATAAATTAAAAAATTGAATTAAATACAAAATTAAGAGTAAATCAATAACTACTAATACATTTTATCATATTAAACATGCTCAATTTTGTTTAAAAAACTTGTCTATACAAACTAAGTAGTATAAAAATATATTTGTATATTATATGTTACTTTATTAAAAAAAAGTTATAATTAAAAAAATATTATAATGAATTATTTCCTTTTATTTTTATTATTTATCCAAACAATAGTTGTTAAAATTTTTTCTTTTTTATAAATTATAACTATCCAAACAAGAGGATACATGTATTATTTACTTTTTTAAAAAAAACTTTTCTTTCTTTTTCTTTCATTTATTTTTATATATCCAAATATAACGTTAGATATGCAATACAAATTCACAGCCTTAGAAGGAATTGATTGTTATAAGCCAAAAAAAAAAAAATATATTGATTTTGTCTATTCCTTTAAGAAAGCAAAGAAACAAATTATTTTGCTAATTCTTTATCAAAGATGGGAATAGAAAAACATAATTATTTTTTGCATGTTGAGTAGACTATTGAGTGTATTATATATATTTTTTGACAAATTAGCTTCGGCATATTATTAGACATTATTACAATTGTTTTCTATTTATGTATTGGAGGTTTTTTTGGTGAGATTCTTGAGTTCTGTAATCTTTTAGTTTTATGAATGAAATTATCTTTTTGATTGAAAAAAAAATCTATATCATATTTTTTTTTGTTTTGAACTTTTATAATTTAATTTTTAATAACAAATCAAGGTAATTTATTGCATTTTAAATAAAATGATGGTAAAAAATTATTTAGGGTGACTTAAGTTTTTTATCAACCATTATTAATATATTTGTAATCATGAAAATAAAATTTAAATTGTTTTCTAAAATTGTAATTATATCAAAATTTGAAATAATATTATATTAAAACAATTATTATAGATACACTTGCCCTGTGTATAACACAAATATATAAAACTTTAAAATTTTAAATAAGTAATATTTGATAATTAATTTTAAAATCTCATTGTTGGAAATGAGGGTCAGAAGTTCCACAATCTCTCAGCGACATAAATTGTTTTGCATTAACACTGTTTGTTCCTTTTGTTTGAAGTAGTCCTGAACCATTTGACATTGCACACTTCATTCCATAAATGTATGCGCTGTGGATTCGTCCTCTATTTTCTGTCTTTTGGAAGCCTGTAGAAAAGCTTCCCCACTACTGCTGCCATTTCTATAACCTTCGTCTGTCTGGAATGTCCCTTGGGATAACAATGAACTCATTGAACTTGCTGTGCAATATTGTCCATGCTCAATGGTGTGATAATGATTTCTTGGATCCCTCACCTTCATTAGAGTTGGACAAAGCTGTTGGTACTGATTGAGGGCATCTTTCAAACATGAGTTCCTTGGTCCCATCATTATTTTCCCAATAGTTTTTTCCTTGTGAAACAAATTGGATAGTTTTCTGTGCGGAAGTGTACCCATTTCTATGGTTCTTTTGGCTCAAATCAGCAGTGTCCATGTTTATATTCCTTGCCATGACGTTTACATTTTCCATCAGGTCCTTTGATTGAAGTTTTGAGGCTGTAGCAGTTGTAATACCTGACATTGATATGCAATCAATTGGCATGAAAAATTAAATGAAATTTAATGTAGTAAATAAGAAAAAAGAAATTAGCCATTTAACGGGTTTACAATAATGATATCATTAAATTAGGGAAGATTTTGTTTTCTTTTTTAAAAATATAGATTAAGTAAAAATTCTGTAATTTTGAAGGAAAAATCTCATTAATTTCATGTATTTTATTACTTATTGTATTATATTGTTAATAATAATAACTTTTGAATATATTTACGATAATATCTCTTGATAGCAATATAAATATAAATGTTCTTCCAAAAAGAATATTAAATAAATCAAATTTTACTGTTCTTTAATTTTGTTTTACTACAATTTTGTCTCTATTATCTTTTAATAAATTTATTTTATAGTTTTGTTTGCTATTTTTTTGTAAGTTTATCAAGGTTTTACTTATATTTTTTGTTTATGCAATTATTAGGTTTTATTTTTAGAATAGCAATTTTATGGACTCTATATTTTAGTATATTTATTTCTTTTATAATTTATAATTTAAAGATGAATCTATAATATTATATATATGTTGAATATGATGTTGCTAGAGAATTCTTTTCTTTTATGAGTTATTAGTTAGCAAATGCTTAATGATTTTGTTTTATTTTTGATGATTACTTGATAAGATTATGTTGATTTGCAAGGTTTCACAATCACATGCTAAGGATAATTGATTAATTTGGATGTTACCATATTTGGCTATTATGCATTGGTTGGGAGGCAAATTGTAAGGATTCTCAAATATTTTATTGTAAGCCAAGTTGACTTAAAATATAGTTAATTATGATCTGACTAAATATGGTTTAGTTTCAATTGAAAATGGAAAATTTTTTTCCAAGTTCTTTGTGAATGAAGCTTTAGATGATATAAGGGGTGTTAACTTGTAATTTTTACTAATTTTATAAAAATAGAATAAATTCCTCAATTTTATGAAATTTACCACTTATTTCATTTAACAAGTCTTAAAATTTTGGAAATATTCAAACAACAATTAAAACTTTTATACCTAATTTTCTATATTCTTCTATATATTTTCTTTTCTAGATAGACCTTATTGATTAATTTCCTTTTTTAGATAAATAAACATTTTCAGATGTCATATTGATATATCACAAATTCGATAATTCATAACAAAAACACACAATATTAAAAAAAAAAAGCCAATGGTTTGATTTTAATGTAAGTTCAACTCCTTTAAAATATAAGATATATATATTAATATATATATATATTAATATAACTCTTTCATCAATTTAAATAAAACATAAGAACAATTAAGTTCTAAATTTAATATATTAATATTATAAAAAAAATCCTACAATTAATATCAAAAATTTTTTCATATTAATTTTTTTAAATATGTATCTTTATCTAATTAATTAATTCTATATCCCCTTAAAATTAGTGAATATATGTGGTATTTGATTTAAAAGAAATAATTATATCTTAGATATTCAATATAGATTCACAACCTTGGAAGGAGTGGAGAGCTTTTGTTTGTTATAAGCAAAAATGAAATTGTTGATTTTGTCTATTCCTTTTAAGGAAGCAAAGTAGCAAATTATATTGCTAATTCTTTAACAAAGATGGGAATAGAAAAACATAATTATTTTGTGTATGTTGAGTATACTACGAGAGGGTTAGATTGAGTGTATTATATATATTTTTTGAGAAATTAGGTTGGGCATATTATTAGACATCATTACAATAGTTTTTTGTTTATGCGTTGGAGTTTTTTTTGGTGAGAATCTTAAGTTTTGTAATCTTTTAGTTTACGAATGAAATTATCTTTTTGATTGAGAAAAAAAATTTATATCAAATTTTTTTTATTTTGTACTTTTATAATTTTATTTTTAATAACAAATCAAGGTAGTTTATTGCATTTTAAATAAAATGATGATAAAAATTTACTTAGGGCGACTTAAGTTTTTTATCAACTATTATTAATGTATTTGTAAGTAGGAAAATAAAATTTAAATTGTTTTCTAAAATTGTAATTATATTAAATTTTGAAATAATATTATATTAAAACAATTATAATAGATACACTTGCCCCATGTATAACACAAATATAAAACTTTAAAATTTTAAATAAATAATATATGATAATTTATTTTTTGATTTGAAAAAAAAATAGTAATTTTATTTACCGTAATTTTTTGAAATTACGTAATATTCTTAAATATTCAATATAAATCAAAACTTGAATTTTCAATGTTTTAAAAAAATTGAATATGTTAAATATAACCATGTATTTATTATGCTAATTTAGACCTTCTAATATTTTACTCATGCGATTCTTTTAACGGTAATAATATTATATATAATAAAAATTATAATCATTTGCTTACTCATGCATAACACAAATTTAAAACTATTTCACTTAAAATATATAGATTAAAATTACTAAATAATTGATGCATTCTTGTTTAAAAAATTGAGTTCAAATCCTTTAATATTTCAATATTAAAAAAGTAAAATTTAGTCCTTACAAACTAATTTTAATTATTTGGCCAAATATATGCGCATTTATTAATGCTTTTGATTAGCAAGATTTCAATATATAAATAAGTTTTATTTGGGCAGCACTTGATCCACGTGGGTTTGGGTTGTTGGGCTTGCTTCTATTTTTGGCTACTAGGAGTTTTCATATATTTATTAGTGCTGTCTGTCGTGTATGTTAAGAGCCAAAAATTGCCTGAGTTTCCGCAAATAACAGAAAAATAAATTATATTATCTAGTCAAATTAATTTCGGGAAATATGGAAAAAAAATTTGTATAAAATAATTATGTTATATTAATATATATCACTTTTATTAAAATTATGTCACATAATTACATTATTAAAAAAAAAGTAATAATAAGAACGAAAACAAATACTGATAGCTTATATGAACACAAGTGATTACTGATGAGCCATATGTCTTATAGCTTCTTAACAAGGAGATTCACTCCATGTTCAGGCTCTATCACTAATCTCATTGTTGGAGAATGCATATATTTTGGTGACAGAGAGAATCTGAAATTAGACAAAATAAGAGCAAGAATTATCTTCAGTTCTGCCATGGCGAAATTCTGTCCCAAACAGATCCTGGGTCCAACGCCAAATGGCATGTACACACAAGGAAACTTGCATGCAGCAGCGACTCCATTGGCAAACCTTGAGGGGTTGAACTTATCAGCATCAGGTCCCCAAATATCAGGATGTTGGTGAAGTGTCGCCACCAATGTCCAAATAGTAACTCCTTTAGGCACTTGAATGTCCCCAAATTTCATGCTTTCAAGAAGTTCCCTTGACACGATCGGAACTGGAGGGTAAAGGCGTAGTGACTCATTTATCACCATTGTCAACTGCCATTGTAATTATATACAACCCCATTAATCTTTTTCCAATTATTGTTGATTTTAACAATCTTCTTATCATTCAAAGCTGGCATTGAACCCCAGAGAAGTGAACTTTTTCCATCAAATCTTTTATTATTATTATTTTTGTGTAATTTTTTCTTAAAAATTTCCGCATCTTCATTAATATATATATATAAGTAACTTCAAGTGGTTAATTGTAGTATTATAATTGTAAGTGATATCTTTCCTCTTAAAAGATGTAATAATGCCAAACAGCCAAAGCTTTAGGTTGTAATAAGAAAAAGTTAAACTACTAAACAGTCATTACACTTTTTAATTTTTTCACATAAGTCCTCATTTTTATTCTATATTTAATTAAGTCTTTAAAGTACTGTTTTTGTTTAATTAAATATTTATTTTTCATGAAACTCTCAAATCCATTAGACAATTAGGGAGTTTATTTAAATAAAAATATTACTTTTAAAACTTAATAAGATAACAAAATAATACTTTAAGAGTTCAATTAAAAAAAAACTTTATTCACTGTAACTAGTTTGTTTGTCCCCTTTTCTGTAAACGTCAAAGTTAAAGTAGCTGTTGCTTGGACATAATTGCAAAGTTTTTTTTTTTTTTTAATTTCTAAGAAACAGATCTTATCAATTTGCTTTCAGCACCAAATTATTTCTACAGGAACTCCTGTCTATGCAAAGTTTTAGTTTCCAATTAATCATTATCTCACCTGTGAAATGAAAAGTAAATTAAGAAAGCAATTACTTGTTATTTTTAGACTTACTGTTTTCATCTTGCGGAGCATGTCGTTATCTGGAAATTCAACCCCACAAATTTCAAGAACCTCTGCCCGAGCTTTGTCTTGCCATTCAGGGTTCGAGGCCAACAGCATCAGGGTCCATGTTGCCGATACAGCCGTAGTCTCATAGCCTGCCAAATATATGTTCTTGCAATTGTCGACAATGAATCGATCTGTTGCAGCTTGTCCTAAATCACTGCTTGTAGCACTTTCCAGGATCATTTGTAAGAGATCCTTCTCCGATTTTGCTTCTTTTCTTTCCTTGACTACCTTCAAGATTAACGCACGAATCTCTTTCTCCAATCTCCATCCTTCCCTGTTGGCCTTGATTGGAATATATCTGAAAGTTTCAGATTCAATTATCACTATCAATTTTTATTCTATTCTTTTTCAAATGGTTTAAGAAATCGGGGGAAAGGAATTTAAACTGAAGTACTGAACCTTATTCCAGGAATTCCTGACAAAAATTTCCTGGACATGGCCTCTTTTAGATCTCTAAACTTTAAGAAAATCTCTTCTCCTTTGGCATAATTGCTCCCAAAACAAGCTCTTGAGATAACATCTCCAGAGAACCTTCTCATGTAACCATCAATCTTAATATCCGCAACTCCACCTTCACTTTCAATCTTACCATTCCATGACTCTACTACTGTTACTGAGGACTGAGCCATCAAGTTCATCATACCCTACACATTAATGATAGGTTGAAGATCCAGTGAAATAAAAGATGTTTTCACATATTAAAATCCCAAATACTAAAGAAAACAGGGGATAATGTGAGAGTACCTTGACTTTCTCCATATACAGTTCAGGGGCAAGGATTTTTCTTTGATAAGCCCATATTGCACCATTCGAAGTCAGAATTCCTTTGCCAAGCAGAGGCCCATTCTCCTTGTGTTGATAGGAAGGCTTCCCTAAATCCAATGAAGTGCATAAGGTTATTTGTTTCACCAAATCAGGATTGCTGATGTGCAGAATCTGTATACTTCCAAGTGAAAACATGAACGTTGAACCTGTAAGCAAATAAACCAGAACATTAAACAACTGGCTATTGAAATAAACCTTTTAGGCAGAAAGATGGGAATTGATTTATAAGGTACAAATTTCATACCATACTGTTTTCTCCATTGGTCCAGGAATGGAAACACAGCTGAACAACAATTGTGGATTATCACTTGTTCTCCTTCTCTCCTCAACTTGGACTTCTGTGATTGAACCTTTTTCATTTCAGGGATATTTCCAAGCAAGATGGACGGTGGAGGACCTGAAATTCCATGCTTTCGAAGCTTGGAACGAAGTCTTTCAGGCTTCAATATTAGTGCTTCAAACAGGCTTACAAGCAGGCCAAGGAATCCAAGTATCAAAACTGTGACAATGATCTTGGTAGGTAGCAATGGAAACTCCATGGCTTTACCTTTTTTCTTTTTTTCTTGCACTCTGCCTTCGCCTTCAATGTGGATGCATAATGGATCTTCCTCCTTTTATGCTGAGTTTATATATACCAATAATTGAATCAGGTCAGCAAAATTTGTGTGGCGATCCTAATTTTAAAGGGAGAGATTAGATACGTATAATAAGTATAAAAATTTTATACAAAATTAAAAAATAATGTATATGTACAATTTAAACATACAAATTGTGTGTGCAGCATTGCCCTAGGGCCTAGGTTAACGTAGTTGCGGCTGAAACAAGACAGAATACATATGGCAGCCCAATTTCTGTTGAATCATGTGTTACAATTTATTAATTGGGAATTTTAATAATTTAATAAAATTGACTGATGTGTTTAATTTTAATATGAGATAAATATGGAAGCTCAAATAATTTAATATGATTATCTAAATATGGACTTTACACATTTTATTGGGTCAGTGTGGCTTGATGATTGTGTAAGTTTTTGACCCAATAAAGTTTGATGAGGAGGTTTTTAGATTGTTTAACTAATTAGGAAAATGTCTCCTCTTCATTTTTACGAGTTTCGGTAACTATCCATTGAGTGCAGCTAATAAGAAAAGAGTAAAGAGGAAGACCAAGTCACTCCGTTTTGCTTCTTTGAATTCATTATGACCACCTAAACAAGCATATGAAATTTTTTATTTTTTTATGGTGTTTTAATATTCACACAATGATCTTTCGATTAATGATTATATGTGATATCCGAGCTTCATTTGTATGATATTAGGACCCAAAGTCATGTTAGTTATTTTGATTTTTTAAATGTATTGCTTGTTTTGGGCGAAATTAATTTGTTGTTGAAATCTTAAATTTCAACCTTTATTTTCCAAAATTGATTTAAGGCTTTTGTTCCTCTTTGAAAGAGGATTAAAACCATATAAAAATCATTTTCCAATTCTTTGTATGAAGAGAGAAATCAGAGTTGAAAGTTTTCAATTCAAGTTTTAATCTAAATTCTTGTTTTGATTTAAACATCAATATTTTATGTGTTTAATCTGAAATTGATCCTTGGATGATGTTTCTAACGTGTTACAAAGTTAAATCAAAGAGTTAACTATCATAAAATGTTGCTATTAAGATGACTAAATATGAAAAAACAAAAATAGGGTTGAATATTGGTTTATATAATCCAAAAATTTTGTTAATTGATCATGTTTTTGTTGATTTCTTATGCTTTTTTTTCATGAGTTTGATAGAAAAATAGTTTAATTGAATTTTGGGCATTTCAATATGATGAAAATACCAAGAAAATGCAAAAAAAAAGTTCAAAAATCACGAATAGACCCAAACGAGTTGAAGAACCACTCCAGTTAGGTTGGGTCAACTCGGCTGGAGGTTGAAGGCCTTCCACGACGACAGACGAAGCCCATGCATAGGGAGTAGCGCTCACGATGCATGTAGGCTTGTTTAGTGTCCGTTTTGTCTCCGATTTCTTCTGACATTACCCAGAATTTTATTTTTGATTTTTTATGAAAATTTTAAATTGCATAAAATATTTATTGTTTGACATTCATGTATTTTTCAATAATTATTATATGTTATACAATTTATTTAGGTTATTTTATTTTATACTAAAATATTTTGATATGTTAGTAGTTTAATCGTAGTAGGTACTATCTCTAGATAGGCCTTGATATTTATATACTTTTGAATTGAACTTTATATGCATAATTGATTTACTAATTAAAAATTAGTTTTAATCAAGTTCAAGACCTGAATTTAAATGCAATATACATTGTTTATAAGATTGATGAGATGCATCTAGATTTAATATATCAGCTGGAGTGGTCCATTGCATATATAATGGTTAAGTATGCAAATAGAGAATTTTGGGTAATTAATGAAAGTTTTTGGTTTGAAAAAATTTTCATTAATTGATACAAGTGTTTAGCTATCAAAATGGCTCATTTATCGAAATTAATAAAATATTTTATCATTCCAAGGTTACGGGAAGGTTATTAATTATCTTAAATTATCTTATACAATTGTCTTCCTAAAAGAAGTTGATGTGTAGGGTAATTTATTTTGGAACATAAAGTATCATGGTTGTAGATGTATTAGTCTAAACAATCTATCAATCTAAAGAGGATAAGTTTTTAAAAAACAATGACATTCTCGTGTTAATTTTAAGTGAAAAATGCATACTCACATGTTGTATTTTTGCCTAAAATGGGAGTTTGTAATGATACATCATAACCTTTTAGTAATTGTTAGTACATTATGAATTGTTACTATACATTTTATGATATTATCTATTGACTAATGCTATATTTTTGTCTTGAACAATGACTTTTACTATTTATAACAATCAAGTCACTATTAAAGTTCTTTATGGGTAAATTATAAGAGATGAAATGAGGATTTGAATTTTGCTTTGGTTATAAGTGAGATAAACATAGCCTTGCGTTTTCTAAACTCTACTGATCTTATAAAAGAAAGTACTACTAAACAAAAGGAATTTTTTGCCAAATGGAAAAGGAAAAATCATATGTGTCTATATGCCATTAAGAGGTCTGATTCTAAACATCTTTTGAGTAGGTTGGATACCACAAAAATTGCTAGGGATCTCTACCATGCTGTAGGCAATAGATACAAAAAATTCAACAAGTTTAAGGTTGGGATCTTATGAGTGAGATTACTAGTATGAAGTATGATAATGCAAGGGTGTTAGAGATTTCATCATGAGAATTTTTACATTCAAACCTAATTGTCGTTCCTGATAAATTCATTGTTCATTATGCCCTTAATTCCCTAACCCATTGAGTTCACTCAGATCAAAATTATCATAATGCTATGAATGAGGTTTGGAATGTTAATGATCTTATGTCAAAATGTCTTTGAGAAAGAAAAACTCAAGAAAGAAAAGAATGAGAGTGCCTATTTGCTACCTACTCCAAACCTAGTCACTAAAAGAATTATGGGAAACCTGGGAGATTTGCTTCAAATGCTCGTAAGAAAGTTTAGGACGATAAGGGATGTGGTAGTGGTCAGACTAAAGAGGTAAGAGGTCTTAAAGCTGTCATTAAGAAAGTTATCAAGTTTTTCTTTTAATAAGAAGAAAGGTCACATGAAACATGAGTGCCCTAAACATAAAGCTTAGTTAGAGAAAAAGAATAAACAAGAAGGTAACTCATTAACTTTTATTTATTTGGAATCCTATTTTGTTAATGCCTTATGAAATTCATGGTGGCTTGATGTGGCACAACTATTCATGTTGCTATTACCTTATAGGGGTTCAAAAGCAAATGGAAGCAAAGTGAGAAAGAGTCTAAACTTAAAGTTGAAAACAATGTTGAAGTGGAAGTTAGTTATGTATGAACAATAGGTTTAAATTTAGAATATGATTTTGAACTTATTTTGAAAAATATTTTTATGTACCTTCATTTAAGAGGAATTTGATTTCAATTTTTTATTTAGGCAAACGTGGCTATTATTTTGGCATTAGAAATGAAAAAGTTGACTTGTTTTTAAATTCAATGTTGTTGGTGAATTTAAACTAGTTAACAATTTATCTAAACTATGTTTGGTTTACAATAGTGGATATAGTTGCAATAATGTTGAAAAGATAATGTCTAAAAATTTTTTGACTAAAGAAAACTATTTTTTATTGTGGCATAAAAGGTTAAGTCACATTTCTAATGAAAAAGTGCACAGATTGATAAAATATGTTCTTTAACTTCCCTTGATTTTGAAAAGTTAGATATTTGTGTTGATTGCATAAGGGATAAATTAATTAAGATTAAAAAAATAGGCAACTCGTAGTTTTGACCTTTTAAAAATTATACGCACTGATATTAGTGAATTTTATACGTCTATTTTGTTTGGTAACAAGTATTTTATTACTTTTATTGATGACTATTATCGTTATGAGTATCTTTACCTAATTGATGAAAAATCTAATGCTTTTGAAAAATTCAAAATTTTTAAAACTGAAGTAGAAAAACAATTAGGAAAAGTCATCAAAGTTGTTAGGTTTGACTGAGATAGTGAGTATTATGATAGACATAGTGAAATTGGACAGCACATGGGATTGTGTGCCAAATATTTACAAGAAAATGGGATTGTTGCCCAATATATTATGCCCGGTAGTCCTGAACAAACTAGTGTGGCCAAAAAGTAGAATCGCATCTTTGAGGATATGATGAAGAGCATGATGAGTAAGACCAATCTTCTCGAATCTCTTTAGGGTGAAGCTATTAAAATTGCCTTGTATATATTTAATAGAGTACCTAGTAAATATGTTCCTAAAATACCTTTTGAATTGTGGAATGGTAGGAAACTTAGCTTAAACCATTTTTGAGTTTGGGAATATCTTATAAAAGTTAGATTTTGTAACCCTTCTGAAAGAAAGACTGAACCTTAAGAGTATTTGTTGTTTTTTCGTATGGCATCTAGATCATTCCAATGGATATAGGTTTTATTGTCTTATACATGAAACTAAGGTTATAAAGTCACAAGTGGCAAAGTTTATTGAGCTGGATGTTGCTAATAAGGGTTTGACAAAAATTATGGATAACAATGAGCCTATTAGACACATTTTCATTCTTTTACCTGCAACACAGTGCTATATTGTACCAGTGGCCATTGAGAGAGAAGATAAAGGGTAACAGGATACAAACTCTTCTTCTACTTATTTTATTTTTATCGATGTACCTAAAGCTTAAGAAAATGATATTGAAATGCCTTTAAGGAGATCAATCAGACAAAGAAGATTTGCTATCTCTAATGATTATTTAATTTATCTTAGAAGGAATGACTATGACATCAGTCATGATGTTGACCTTGTGAATTTTGATGAAGCTATTAGTAGTCCATAATTTGATGTATGGATTGATGCAATGAAAGATAAGATAAATTTTATGGCTTAAAATAGTGTTTGAGAGCTTGTTGAATAGCTTATAGGGTGTAAACCCATGGGTTGTAAATGGGTATATAAAATCAAGAAAGATTCTAAGAGAAAATTTGAGAGATTTAAAGCTAAACTAGTAGCAAAGAGATTTACTCAAAGGAAAATAGTAGATAATAATGAAACATTTTCATCGGTGTCTTTTAAAGATTCTTTTAGGTCATTATGGCCTTGGTAGCACACTTTGACATGGAGATCCATCAAATGGATGTGAAGATGACATTTCTTAATGGTGAACTTAGAGAAGAGGTTTATATGTTAGAACCTAAAAGATTTCAAGAATATGAAAATAAGCATTTACTCTATTGATTTAAGAAGTCAATCTATGCCCTTA